AGTCCAGGTTCACGGAAAACCTCGTCTCACTACAACAGACCTCTTGCGCACGATTCTGAGAGAAAGAGGGACGTCGGATGGGTGTGGGAAACCGAATCGAAAGGGGCGATATGGTTTGGGGAGAGGAACAAAATAATCCTTCGGGCTATCACAGCCGTTAAAATTGGAACAATACACTAAAGATTGATTAGCACCATTGCCACTGTGCCAGGGGATGACACGATTGGAAAAAAAAAAAAAAACATAACTAAAAGAGAAACAGAGTAGTGACAAGCAATCGCCAAGTTGCCTGCGAACACGCTTTTTTTTTTTTTTTTTTAACTTTTTTTTTTTTTTTTTTTTTTAAGATAGGAAGATAGATCACATACAAAGCATGTTCATTACCTTCTTCCCCCGAATAGAACGTACGGTCTTTTTGTTGCATCTGGACTGAAAATTGCCCTAAACACGACATACGTTCTATTCCGGGCCAGGGAAAACAGTAGTCTGGGCAAGAGGAACACAGATTGTCAGTCTCTACGACATTGGTTCATAATATTAGGATGACGTGACGAGAACGACCTGAGCTTAGATGATGACGTGGCAGCCTCAAATCAATGAGCCTTTTTTTTTTTTTTTTTTTTTTTTTTTTTTTTTTTTTTTTTTTTTTTTTTTTTTTTTAGGGTTCTTTTTTTTTTTTTTTTTCTCCAAGCAAAAAAATATTTCATTAATAGATTGAAAAACCAGGCCAAGTGACCTCACAAGTCGACCCGGAGTTATCCTGGCAGCATTAGATCAATNGTGGGCACACTTGCCACAAAGGGATTGGTTGTGGCTGAATGCATTAAGGACATTTACTGGGTGCATATTACTGTGTAATAGTAGTGTATGTAAAGCTGTCCATCATCTTTGCTTTGTTTTCCCCTTTTTTTTTTTTTTTTTTTTTTTTTCTTTTTTTTTTTTTTTTTTTTTTTTTTTTTTTTTTTTTTTTTTTTTTTTTTTTTTTTTTTTTTTTTTTCCCCGTTTGTTTTCCCCTTTTTTTTTTGGTACAGTGTGGAGATGGATTGGGGGAATGACCCCCTTATTCTTGACGATAATCCACGTAGGAGAAAGCGCGTGCTTGTTTTTTTTTTCCCTTTTGCTGTTTGTTTTTCCCCGGGGGGTGGAGGACCCTGATTATAAATGTATGCAGGCTATCTCTGCGGTTCGATACGACCGTGATGACGGTACGTTGTGTTCGGCGGAAGACGGTAGTAAAGCTTATAAATTAGCGAGTGCTGAGGGCCATGGCCATACCCATAACCATAGCCATAGAAGAGGGGGCGTGGACCGGTCAGGGCCATAGCCATAGCCATAGGGGACGAAGAGGGGGCGAGGAGAGATCAATCGATGGAATGGGGGAGGAGTAGGACCTTCGGAAGGCCCCTTGCAAGCCACTTGAAAAGAGATGCAAAGACAAACACCTCGTGGAAGAGGAGGACCTTTTGTACTCATCCCTAGACGAAAGTGCGGTCAGATACATGCAAGGCCAGCCGTGACTGGGGTCGGATGGATATAGGGAAGTCCTAGTCTGAGTACGACCTCAGACAACAATGGCACATTTTTCTGTCCTCTAGCAGACCTCTCACTATAACTTCCATTGATGTATGTGACCGCAATTATGTCCAGAGGTCATTCGAATAAGGCTAGAGCCCTGACAAAGTCAAGAGGATAGGACCACAACAGGTGATAGTAAGGGAACTGTGCATAGACATAGCCAAATACAACACATCATCTGGGAAGGGCAAAGGAAGAAGCGACAATGAGAAACGACAAGCCGAATTTGAGCGATAAGGGAAGCGAAAGAAATTGAAAAAACACAAAATATGGATGAGAAAGACAAGAAGTTACTTCAGGCAATGTGCGCTACCGTGGGAGTACAGGTTTTGGGACGAAAGGGGTTGTGTGTTGGCATGGCAATGCCTAGTCATCTTTAAAACTATGTCTATCTATCTATCTACCGTCTCCCCCCATCTATCTAAGGAAATGATTGAAATCTATTGTAATACAAACCAATCTATACATGGGGGGGGAGGGGATGCACTTAAACATGACTTAAAAAAAGCCGAGTTTTATACCCAAACTCGAAACAGGGGGCGTGTCAGGATTACTGCACCCAATAACAAATGTCCCCTAATCAGTACATGGGGGGGGAGGGTGTGTGGGGGAGCCCCCCCCCCCCCACTTACATATGACTTTAGTCTGTGATGCAAGTTCATTCTAAGGTTCTCACTACAAGAAACTGACAACCGCAACCCCCCCTCCGGCGATAGCGAACAAACCAATCTGTACATGGGGGAGGAGGGAGTGTGGGGTAGGGGGGGCAGAGCCCCCCCTTCCCCGCACTTAAACATGACTTAAAAAAAGCCGAGTTTTGTACCCAAACTCGAAACAGGGCCAGTGTCAGGACTACCGCACCCAATAAAAAATGTCCCCTAATCAGTACATGGGCCCCCCCCCCACACTTAAATATGACTTAAGTCTGTGATGCAGGTTCATTCTAAGGTTCTCAGTACAAGAAACTGACAACCGCAACCCCCCCTCCGGCGATAGCAAACAAACCAATCTGAGCATGGGGTAGGAGGGGGTGTGGGGGAGACCCCCACACTTAAACATGACTTCGGCAAAAGCAAGTTCGTTACCCAAACCCAAAGCCAGGCCTGCATCAGGCCTGTTGCGCCACAATAACTTGCAACATTTCTTTGGCTAGACACGSACAAAGGAAAGCCCCTGCCCCTGGCTGCGCCACCACGCTTGGCGTGGTCTAACAGTTTTTGTTTTCTTTGGGAAAGCGGGCGACGATTTGCTGCCCAAGAGGCCGTCGGACAATGCCATTCCCTCACGCTGCGTCCACCCCTTTAAACCACCAGGGGATTTTTGTTGCCGGCCTGCAAGCCTCTTGGTCCGTTGCCGAACCAAACAGCTATCGGGTGAAGGGGCCCAAGGCGTCACACCCGCCGCAGTCCTTCCTAAGGTTGAACCGGCCCAGGCAAAACGGCAGACCGGTAACCCTTCGTGAAGGTCGGCTCACACCGTTTTGGAAACCTCGTCCACGCCCAGCCAAACATCTCTCTGTTTGCAGCCAGCGGGAAGCTCGGCGCCTGCTTTCCGTTTCCAGCAGTTTTTTGGTTTTTCCAGCAGGTTTCTTGGTAAAGTGGGAGAATGGGAAGGCGTGCGTCTACTGTCCGTTTCTAGCTGCTTTCGTGGTGCGTAGGTTTCTTTGTAAAGTGGGAGAAGGGGAAGGCGTGCGTCTACTGTCCGTTTCTAGCTGCTTTCTTCGTGCATCTACTTCCGTTTCTAGCTGGTTTCTTGGTAGCGTGGAAGACATTGCCTGTCAGTCACAGTGAGGTGAGTTACTCTTCCTCTCTCGTTGTGTCTGCTCGACTCTGCTGCAACTTCCTTGTTTCTTGGCTGGTTGCTTGTTTGGTCTTCTCTCTCTCTCTCTCTCTTCCCTCTCTCTCTCTCTGTGCCAGTGTCAGTGTCTGTGCATGATTTCTTCCCCCTTGTCAGTCTAGAGTCTATAGTCTATAGAGAGGAACGCGGAAAGTAGGGGGCGGGGGGATATCTTGACAGACTCTCGAGAGATGGAAAGGGCATGAGGCGGTAGGAATTGACAGATTGGCGGAGGGGGTGTGACCGGGAGAGAGACGAACGAGAGAAGTAGCCCCCTCCTTTCTTGAAAGATTGAACCGTAACGAATTGTCACACTTTCTGGATCAACTACGGAAGGGCGATGGCGTTGCGATGGAGAATGGACTCCGATGGGAGGGAATATCAAGCAATGGGGGCTGCTCGGTAGCGGGCGGAGAAACGGATGTTGTTGTTGTTGTTTTTTTTTTTTTTTTTTTTTTTTTTAGGCTATTGGCCCAACCAATTCAATTGCCTGTCAAATCTGGACAGGACGGCCTTTGACGTCGTTGTTTTTGTTCTATTCCGTCGTCGTTTTTATTATTTTTCGTCGTCGTCTTTGTTTTTCGTTGTTCTGGGGGTGCATCTTTCGATGTTCTAGAGGAGTATTCATTCTCATTTCGTACATTTGGTGAGTTGTGCAGCAATACTCTCTCTCTCTCTCTCTGTGGCTCGCTCGCTTGCTCTCTCTCTCTCTCTCTGTGTGCTCTCTCTCTCTTTCTCTCTCTCTTTTTTTTTTTTTTTTGGTTGTCCTTTTCTCGATTTATGCGTGTCATCCTTGCGCAGGGGCCATGCTAATCTTCTCTGTATCATTTCAATTTTAAAGGATGTCCCGCAGGACAATTCCTCTCTTTCTCTCTCTCTCTCGCCCCGCCTTAATGCGTGTC